ATAATTATATATATATATTAATTTAACAATTTTATACCCCTAAAAACTATAATAATTATATATATATATATATTAAATTAACTATAATAATTATAATAATTATATATACTATAATAATTATAACCAAAATATTAACTATAATAATTATATATATATATATATATATTAAATTTTATACCCCTAAAAACAATAATAATTTTACATACAAAATAAATAGATTTAAATCTACTTAATAAATAAATATATATATATACACACACACACCATTGAACTTCATGGGATACGAATTATACGAAACTAATTTCAACGATCCAACCGTCAAACATGTTTGTATATACTTCGAGATCGCATACGCCAAAAAATGTAAAAAACAAACATTCAGAGAGCAAGTAACGGGACAAAACTTTTTGACAGTTATAAACAAAAAATCACGATTTAACGGTCATTTTAACTCCGATTTTGAAGATTTTTTACAACCACACTCCTTGACCCTATATGAATACAATGATTGAATTCGATCTTCAATTTAAAATATTTACACTAGTGGATACCACAAAATCTTATGTTATACTTAATAAAAAGTATGAATAAACTCTTAAGTACTCTTAAGTATATTAGTGAATCTATTGTTTTGATGGGATACTCATTCTACAAAACTAGTTTCAATGATCCAACCGTCAAACATGTTTGTATATACTTCGAGATCACATACGCCAAAAATTGCAAAAAACAAACATTCAGAGATCAAGTAATGGGACAAAAGTTTTCGACGGTTATAAATGAAAAATCACGATTTAACGGTTATTTTAACTCCGATTTTGATGATTTTTTACAACTACACTTCTTGACCCTATATGAATACAAGTAATGAATTCGATCTTCAATTTAAAATATTTACACTAGTGGATACCACAAAATCTTATGTTATACTTAATAAAAGTATGAATAAACTATTAAGTATTAGTGAATCTATTGTTTTGATGGGATACTCATTCTACGAAACTAGTTTCAAATATCCAACCGTCAAACATGTTTGTATATACTTTGAGATCGCATACGTCAAAAATTACAAAAAACAAACATTCAGAGATCAATTAACGGGACAAAACTTTTCGACGGTTATAAAAAGAAAAATCACGATTTAACGGTTATTTTAACTCTGATTTTGATGATTTTTTGCAGCTACACTCGTTGACCTTATATGAATACAATGATTGAATTCGATCTTCAATTTAAAATATTTACACTAGTGGATACCACAAAATCTTATATTATACTTAATAAAAGTATGAATAAACTATGAAGTATTAGTGAATCTATTGTTTTGATGGGATACTCATTCTACGAAACTAGTTTCAATGATCCAACCGTCAAACATGTTTATATATACTTCGAGATTGCATACGCCAAAAATTGCAAAAAACAAACATTCAGAGATCAAGTAACGGGACAAAACTTTTCGACGGTTATAAACGAAAAATCACGATTTAACGATCATTTTAACTCCGATTTTGATGATTTTTTACAACTACACTTCTTGACCCTATATGAATACAATGATTGAATTCGATCTTCAATTTAAAATATTTACACTAGTGGATACCACAAAATCTTATGTTATACTTAATAAAAGTATGAATAAACTCTTAAGTATTAGTGAATATATTGTTTTGATGGGATACTCATTCTACGAAACTAGTTTCAATGATCCAACCATCAAACATGTTTTTATATATTTCAAGATCGCATACGCCAAAAATTGCAAAAAACAAACATTCAGAGAGCAAGTAACGGGACAAAACATTTCGACGGTTATAAACGAAAAATCACGATTTAACGGTTAATTTAACTCCGATTTTGATGATTTTTTACAACTACACTCCTTGACCTTATATGAATACAATGATTGAATTCGATCTTCAATTTAAAATATTTACACTAGTGGATACCACAAAATCTTATGTTATACTTAATAAAAGTATGAATAAACTTTTAAGTATTAGTGAATCTATTGTTTTAATGGGATACTCATTCTATGAAACTAGTTTCAATGATCCAACCGTCAAACATGTTTGTATATATTTCGAGATCGCATACGCCAAAAATTGAAAAAAAAAAACATTCAGAGAGCAAGTAACGGGACAAAACTTTTCGACGGTTATAAACGAAAAATCACGATTTAATGGTTAATTTAACTCCGATTTTGATGATTTTTTGCAACTACACTTCTTGACCTTATATGAATACAATGATTGAATTCGATCTTCAATTTAATATATTTACACTAGTGGATACCACAAAATCTTATGTTATACTTAATAAAAGTATGAATAAACTATTAAGTATTAGTGAATCTATTGTTTTGATGGGATACTCATTCTACGAAACTAGTTTCAAAGATCCAACCGTCAAACATGTTTGTATATACTTCGAGATCGCATACGTCAAAAATTACAAAAAACAAACATTCAGAGATCAATTAATGGGACAAAACGTTTCGACGGTTATAAAAAGCAAAATCACGATTTAACGGTCATTTTAACTCTGATTTTGATGATTTTTTGCAGCTACACTCCTTGACCTTATATGAATACAATGATTGAATTCGATCTTCAATTTAAAATATTTACACTAGTGGAAACCACAAAATCTTATATTATACTTAATAAAAGTATGAATAAACTATTACGTATTAGTGAATCTATTGTTTTGATGAGATACTCATTCTACGAAACTAGTTTCAAAGATCCAACCGTCAAACATATTTGTATATACTTCAAGATCGCATACGTCAAAAATTACAAAAAACAAACATTTAGAGATCAAGTAACGGGACAAAACGTTTCGACGGTTATAAACGAAAAATCACGATTTAACGGTCATTTTAACTCCGATTTTGATGTTTTTTTACAACCACACTCCTTGACCCTATATGAATACAATGATTGAATTCGATCTTCAATTTAAAATATTTACACTAGTGGATACCACAAAATCTTATACTATACTTAATAAAAGTATGAATAAACTATTAAGTATTAGTGAATCTATTGTTTTGATGGGATACTCATTCTACGAAACTAGTTTCAATGATCCAACCGTCAAACATGTTTATATATACTTCGAGATTGCATACGCCAAAAATTGCAAAAAACAAACATTCAGAGATCAAGTAACGGGACAAAACTTTTCGACGGTTATAAACGAAAAATCACGATTGAACGGTCATTTTAACTCAGATTTTTGATGATTTTTTACAACTACACTCCTTGACCCTATATGAATACAATGATTTAATTCGATCTTCAATTTAAAATATTTACACTAGTGGAAACCACAAAATCTTATGTTATACTTAATAAAAGTATGAATAAACTCTTAAGTATTAGTGAATCTATTGTTTTGATGGGATACTCATTCTACGAAACTAGTTTCAATGATCAAACCATCAAACATGTTTGTATATATTTCGAGATCGCATACGCCAAAAATTACAAAAAAACAAACATTCAGAGATCACGTAACGGGACAAAACTTTTCGACGGTTATAAACGAAAAATCACGATTTAACGGTTAATTTAACTCCGATTTTGATGATTTTTTACAACTACACTCCTTGACCTTATATGAATACGATGATTGAATTCGATCTTCAATTTAAAATATTTACACTAGTGGATACCACAAAATCTTATGTTTATACTTAATAAAAGTATGGTATAGTACTATTGTTTTATTTTTTTCATAATTATTTTGGTAAACTTCTCATAATTTGAATGATTTTTAATGTTTGGTTTTTCTATGCTTAGTTTATGCAGAAGATAGTTATGACGTGGAAAACCTTACTGAAAACATCATCAACATAACTCTTGAAGGCAATAGATCAAGCCAAAGTTCCAATGCAATTTCATGATGATCGATGTAAATCGAGGATTTTGTAAATTGAGGTTTAAACTTTTGAGAAAGATTTCACAACCTTGAAAACAAAAACTGTTTCATTTTGCATATCCTTGCACATTTAAAATTTGTAATAGATTAGTAGTGTATGTATTATTTTTTTATTAGGCTCATATTTTCGAGTGTAGATGTAGTACTTAAACGACAAATGTGTTTTAATGTTTTGAAGTAATATTTATGTGGCAATGTGTGGTATGTGCAAATTTAAGAAAAAAAATATATTTTTCTTAACGGGTCATAACGGGTCGGGTCACTTTACTCGTTGGGTAAAGTGACACGACCTGTTAAGGACCCGTTAAAATAACGGGTGTGACACGACACGACCCGTTAAGATAACAGGTGTTACACGAAAACGACACGAACACGACTGACACGACCCGTTTGCCAGACCTAATATATATATAAGCCTTTTAAGGATGATTAACATGTGATTCACTTTTAAGAGTAAAGTTGCTTCAGTATTTGACGACAAAGTAGATGAAATTTCATCGAATCTGTCAATGAGAAGGTTAATTGGCTGATTTCAAATAGTTCATGAGGTAGGAATTGACATTTTACCACAGTGATAGAAATGTGTTAAAATTATTGCATGATGGCGTGGGTTCAAACTATGACAAAACTAATCTAACAAAATCTATTGTTTGAAAAAAAAAATTAGGAGGTTAATTAACTAGAAGATTAGTTTACAGGGTCATTTTCAATTGGCTAATAGCTTAGAAGGTCGAACGACAATTTATATACATATTAGGCCTGACAACTTCTTACACGACTCGTTAATCTGACACCAAACGACACAAAAATAACACATTTTGGACCAAGTTGTTAAATAGTTAGGTTGTTATTAGGTAATCCGTTAACATTTCGGATCGTTATCAGGTTAGCCGATAAAAACCCAATAAACTATTATAAATGCTTTAGAACCTTGTGATAGGGGACAACCGGTCCTATCTCGAATCGCATTCTTTTCTCTGTTATAGCGGGTCCAAGCCGCCGCAATAGACTTAACAGGTAGGCCCTTTGTCCAATCTGGCATCTTACACGTTTTGATTCGATTCTATTTTCTCACTTGTCATCCTCTCGTTTCGCCAACTGATCTTCTAACCATCTCCGTCTCCCTCTCTCTCTCTCTCTCTCTCTCTCTGACAAGCAACTCCAATGGCAGAATCCAAACCTGGAACAACGCAAGCTCCGCCTGGTACGATTTTTTCCAAATATCTAATTCTCGTTTTACTCCCGAACCCCCATTTGTTAGATAATCCAATTTGATCATTTTCTGGATCTAATTATTGTTTCGGATTCGATTAGTTCTGCTGAATTTCCTTAAAGTTATCTAATTTTGGTAGATATTAATGTGTTTGTGTAGAAAAGAGGATTATCGTTTAATTAATGGGATGAATTTCTTGTAAATGTCGAAAATTCGTAACAGATAAGGAAGTAAAGGCACCTAATTTGCTTGAAAGAGCAAAGGAAGAGATTGAGGGAATGCGGCACACAGACAAATCACATCATGATCACAAGGAAACTCATGGATTGCGAAATGATATCGATGAAAACACCCCGTTAGATGGTGTCAAAGCTCCGAATATGTTCGAGAGAGCGAAGGAGGAGTTTGAGGCCATAGTTGAAGCAATTCATCCCAAGAAAGAGTCTCCCACTCATGGAAAAAAGTTGGTTTTTATTTTCCCGTTAATTTGAGCAAATTGAAAAGTTGAAATGTAGGATCAATTTGGCCTTTTTGATGTGCTTAAGTTTGTGCCTCGTCGCGTTTGTTGATTTGATTGCAGGGACGAAAGTAAAAAGGAGCCGAAAAAACAGGAGAAAGCTGTTTCTCTATCAGGTATGACATTCATTACAATGTTGTTGCATGTATGAGATGATTTCTCGGAACTTTTGCATCGGTTCGGTTTCCATTAGTCGAACTAGCAGTTTTAAGAAGATAAAGTAAGGGTCAAGAAAAACAATACGCTGTAGTTGTACTTGTAGTCCTCTATGCTCACCTTGAAGGTCTCATTGGGTTTCCCCAATTGGTGGTTTTGAAATTCGATCGTAACCCTATTTTCCTCCATTTTCTTGAGCGTCCCAGGCTTCGTCTTGATTGGATTGTGGTCCAAACTGTTCTGTGTTTGTATATAATTTTGCCTCTGAGTCTTCGATCTTGTCCATTATTATTTGTTATACTGCAAACGCTAAGTTTAATATTCTAATTGTTAAGGTCCACGCGATTGTTTTTATGTTGCTTTTCCGACTCACATGTTTATACTATAGTCTATATATCTCAAACTTTGTAATCTTCTCCGTTTGACCAAAAAGAAAAAAGAAATCTTTTCCATTTGTGGCATGCTGGCAGAAAATCATGTCAAGATAGCCAGTTTGATTGGGAAAGCCAAGGAGAAGATTGAGACAATGATGCACCATGAGAAGTCGTTGAAGAATCATGATAAAGAAACACACGAGAAGTCACCAAAGCATCATACCAAAGAAACTCACGGAAGGAGTAATGACATTGACGAGAGTATCCCAATCGATCATGTTAAGGGTCCGAATGTTTTTGAAAGAGCAAAGGAGGAAATCGAGGCCATTGTCGAAGCGATCCATCCCAAGAAAGAAGAGAAAAATCCGGTTTCCACACCTAAAAAGGAAGGTGGGTTTGGGGTGTCAATAGGAAGAGGTTTGGAGAAGGTGTGCTCCCCTCATGGAAACAAAGATTAGTTGTGAGTTTTTTGTCAAGTTGTGTGATACTTCATCCTCATTCTTTTCTGCCTGATGACAAATCAGGGGATATACATGAAAAATTGTAAGATTTTTTGGTTACTTAAGTTTCTGTATGGCATTCATGTGCATTATATATCCTTCTTATCACTTGATGGCCTCATTTGGAGTCCGGGATTGGATCGGAATGGATAACTTACTATAAATAATCCTTGCACGCTGAAGAACAAAATGAAAATTTTGGGTCCAATTTGAATCGAGAAGATAGATTACTCGTTATGGAAACTTGTAGGTAGGATTAGGAGGGATAAGTTTCATTTATGTCCAATCTATCTCCTCAAAAAATGAAATTCATTCACCTCTAGAGCTTAAACAGAGTGGTTTATCAGTTCCTATTCAATTCTAGAGGCCGATATGTCTCTTTATCTTCATCCACAATAGAAACAAGACGTGGGATCTCTAGCATGAATTGGCCATTTATCCGTTGATGATCGTTGATTGCTGTGAATCTCACACGTGGCGGGGCTCCCCAAATCTTGCAAAAACAGGTCTCACAAAGCAACGAGACCTTGCCTTTTCATGCATAACAGAGCTAGAGTGTTACACCACTACTTTTGTAGCAATAAATTAGAGCTAAAAAACAGAGGCATGAGTATGTGGAAGGTCAGGAAACAGAAGTCTTCACAGTGAAGGCAGGGCAAATTAGTCACTAGCAAAGCCTGCAGAACGGTGGTCATGACGATCGTCCGAAGACTCCGACCCCATCAATGATGCCATCGGTGACATAAAACCAAACCCCTAAAGGCGAAATTGGGCTTCAAATTCGAGAATCTTATCTGCTTCGGGATGACACCGCGATAATATTCTAAGTTGATCGAGAACTGCATTACAATTTGTTATTGACTTGAAAAACCGTCGGAGTAGCATACGTTGTTCTCATCGGTCACAGTCCCAACACAGAACAACTTTTTGCATACTTCAACCTGGAACTTGTGAATTGTGATTGATCATAATTTACGCAAGGACAAACAAGAAATTGTTAATTGTTACAAAAAATTTAATTTTTAAAATTTGATCAGCAATTTTTGCGTAATTGGGATTTTGTTTTCACTGATCGTCACCCATGTCCTCTCTCCTCCCCCTCTCTCTCTGCTCTGACTTCAAAACTCATGTATTTAAACAACTTCGAATCGACCCGATCAACCCACCAACTCACAACCTCGGATCACCCGACTCAGTTCTCTTGTTCCCGATGAATTGAACGACGTTGTTAGCAACAGTTGTAAGAATATGAACATAAGAAAGCCTTATAGGAAGATGAATGTGAGTTCTTGTTGATAGAGGAATCTATCATGGAGATGAACTGATATAGATTAGGAAACATGAGTTGTTTCCTAAGCGGATTGTAATAGGAAATCCTCATCAGATTAGGAGAGGTGTGTGTGTGTGTGTGTGTGTGTATGCTGTAATCTCTGCTCTCACAGACACATGCTCAATCAAGAACTAAGCCCTATTCTTAGTAAGAGCATTAAGAGTTCTGCCAGAGAGGAGAAGAGTTGCAACATACAGAGTTTGGACTGCTGCAGCCATGACGTTTTCCAACGGAGGTTCATCAGGTTAGTGTGAATGCATTAGTTCATATGGAAAAGACTTTGTGCTTTCTTGGTTGTGTTTACTGTGGCTTAAATCTTGATCTTGGCTATTTAATTCTTACAACAGCAGCAGCATCTCATGCATGGCATTACCCCACAACCCTCCCCCACCCGAATCAGCCCTCAACCGCCCCTCCGACAACCTCGAATCGATCTTCGACTCCACTCACTTTGGCTACTTCGTCGACGCCAATATCATCGTCAACACCACCTTGGAAGTTCCCGTCCACCGCTGCGCCTTGTCGGCGAGAAACTCGTTTTTCAAGAACGTGTTCTCGGTGAAGGACAGAGGATCATCGTTGGTGGCTACTCGGTTTGAATTAAAGGAGTTCGTGAAGGAATATGATGTCGGATTGGACACGCTCCTCACTGTTTTGGGGTATTTGTACAGCGGGAAGCTTAGGTCATTGCCCAAAGGCATTTGCGTCTGCGTGGACGACGCTTGCGCTCATGTCGCTCGCTGGTCGGTGGTTGATTTCATGGTGGAGATTCTGTATGCTTCTGCAACTTTTCAAATCTCCGAATGGGTCTCACTTTATCAGGTAAAAACTTCACTAGTATCTTTTTGGGTAAAGTACAAAAAACTACCTCAACTATTAGTGTCACGACACTTTCATACCTTATCTTTTAAAATTGACAATGTCATACCTCATCTTACGAATTTGATCCAATGTTATACCTTCCGTTACTTGGCACTGAATTTTTCAGTTGAATGCTGACGTGACTTGATTCGGGACCCACTTTTTATTAAAAAATTAATAAAATATAATTATAAACTAAAAAAATTATTTAATATTATTAAAATATTAAAATAGTACATAAAAGTTAAAAAAAAACCCTCAGTTCGTCATCTTCTTCCCCCTTCTCTCTTTTCCCCCGTCATCTATTTCCCCCTACCTGCTTAATCTTCAACAAAAAAAAAATTTGAAAACCCATCAACCCCATCCCCCCGCCCAGATCCCAAGATCCCATCACCTTACCAACCCCACCCCTTCCCAAAACCCCGATCCCTCCCACACCTGCAACCCAAGTCAAAGGAGAGAAGGGGGAAAAAAAAAAAAGAAAGAAGGAAACCCAGTTCGTATGTCCCCCCCTCCCCAGCCCAACCTGCATAAGAAGAAGAAGAAGAAGAGAAAACAAAAAAAAAACAGGAAACCCAGTTCGTCCATCCCCCCCCCCCCCCAAAATATCATCACCGTACCAACCCCTTCCCCCCCCCCCCCAAGATCCCATCACCCCCCCAGCTCCCAAAACCATGATCCCTTCCACACCTGCAACCCAAATCCACCACCCCCCAACCTGCAGAAGAAGAGAGAGAAGGAAAAAAAAGAAAAAAAAAAGAAGGAAACCAGTTTGTCCGTCCCCCTCCCCTAACCCAATCTGCAGAAGAAGAAGAAGAAGGAGAGAGAGAGAGAGAGAAAAAAAAAACCCAACCTGCAAAAGCAGAAGAAGTAGAGGGAGAGAGAAAAAAAAAAGAGGAAACCCCCAAGCCAACCTACAACCCAGAAAGAAAAAGAAGAAGAAAGGAAAATAAAAATGAAAAGGTCGTCCATCCCAACCTGCAAGAGAAGAAGAAGAGAGAGAAAAAAGAAAAAAAATTACTTTTCTTTATTATTTTAATATTTAAAAAATATTAAATAATTTTGTTTTAGTTTTTAATAATTTTTTAATAGAAAATGGGTCCCGAATCAAGCCACGTCAGCATTTAACTGAGAAATTCACGACCAAGTAACGGAAGGTATAACATTGGCACAAATTCATAAGATGAAGTATGACATTGTCAATTTTAAAAGATGAAGTATAAAAGTGTCGTGACACCAATAGTTGAGGTAGTTTTTTGTACTTTACCCTATCTTTTTTATACTTACACGTGCTTACGTCATCGGACTGCGACTTCAACGTCATACTAGTTATTCGCCTGGTACATGATCAAAATCCATAGTATGACGATAAAACATATTACGTTAGGTTTGTTTTTACAGTGATTAGTTTGAACTTTGAACGATATTTTCCAATAATTATTCCGACTTCGACGAGAGGTTGAGATTCACATAATGATAATAGAAGATTATTATGTTGTCGTATCATTAATTTGAACTCTATATAATTAACCGGGCTAATTATTGTGATTTGCAGTCAGACAACGTAAATATCTTACATTCTTTGATAGTTTAGCAGATGAACAAATTTGGATACTTTTTAGTGTTTGTATACGTGCATAAAAGTGAAAAATAAGGGTAATGTTGTGTACGATAAATGTTTCCCCAATCTTCATAAGGCCGAAAGCCTTGTTAGCTTGGAGCTGCCATTTTTATATACGTGCATAATAGTGAATGATGTTTAAATTGTTTGCTATCAGCTTTCTAAAATTTCGTTTATATTTTTGTTGTTACCATGTTCGGTTAACACCTAATCACAATAAAGATTCAGATCCATAGTTTGGATAAGTAAACATCTTAAATAGTTTGACGAAAGAACATTCCACTTTCAGCGTTCATACGTGTGTTTATAGTAGTGATTGATGTTTATCAACTTTCTGAAACTTTGTTGTTAGTTTGTTTTGTATTGATGATTAATTTCCAGAGGCATCTGCTAGATATTCTTGAAAAAGTTGCCATAGATGACGTACTGGTGGTTCTGTACGTCGCCAACATGTGCGGCAAACCGTGCGAGAGATTGGCGGGGAGGTGCATTGAGATGATAGTGAAGTCCGATGCCAATGTTGTAACTCTGGAGAAAGCCCTGCCACAACACACTGTGAAGCAGATCACCGATACCAGGCTTGCATTCGGCTTGGACAGCCCTCAGCAGTGCTCCTCTAGTGCTAGTACTAGTCATTTCCCAGATAAACACACCAAGAGGATACACCGGGCTTTGGATTCGGATGATATCGAGTTGGTGCGAATGCTGCTGAAAGAAGGGCATACCAATCTTGACGATGCCTTTGCGCTGCACTATGCTGTGGCGTACTGTGATGCAAAGACCACAACGGATCTGCTTGATCTTGGAATCGCAGATGTTAATTGTAGGAATCCGAGGGGGTATACTGTGCTTCCTGTTGCGGCGATGAGGAAGGAGCCTAAGATCATTGTGTCCCTTCTCACGAAGGGTGCTCGCCCTTCGGATCTTACGCTGGATTGGAGGAAAGCGGTGCAGATCACTAAGCGGCTTACCCGGGCTGCAGTTTTTTAGTCTAACGACGACGGCAAGTCTTCTTCCAACGATCGCTTGTGCATAGAGACTTTGGAGCAAGCGGAAAGAAGGGTTCCGTCGCTTGGTTCCTTGCTTTCGCTTGCTATGGCCGACGATGATCTGCGCATGAAACTCTTGTACCTTGAGAATAGAGGTAAATATTCACTCTTGTTTGTGTTTAAATTAGAGCGTATGAGTGTGTTCAGGTTAAAACTTAAACTTTGGGCTCAGAAAGGAGTTGGCCCAAAAAGAGGAGAAAAGCTCGAAGCACAGCCCAAGCCCAGAAGGCAGAAAAGGCCTTTCCCG